TGTGTGTGTGTGTGTGTGTGTGTATGTACGTATATGAACACACATGGGAAAAAAAGAATATCTCAATCTAAGGGAAATGATATTAACTTATTTTTCGAAATTAGATCGCAAAATTTGTACTATATAATTTGTTTTCTATGTACTATGATATTTATGTTTCTGACGACACTGGAAAAAAGTCTTGAAGGATTCATAAATTCTTCAAGATTTCTAAAATTCTTATTTTTTCTTTTTCATTAACTATATTATCTAATTTTTCTCCAATGGCTTGTTCCCTAATTTTTTTAAATTTAAAAAATGTATATAAATAAAATAAGCAAAAAGGAATCCTCAGAAACAATCAGGGGCTAAAGAGATTGTGTCTTACCTAAATTGTTCTCCAGGACAGCCTTTTCTCCTTCTAATTTTGTTTTGCCATACAGATTTAGGGGATTTGGTATGTCTTCCTCTCCATAAGGAGGATCGGTTCCATCAAATACATAATCTGAGCTAATATAGATTAGAAATGCTCCAATTGCAGCTACAAAAAAAAGACAGGAAAAAAACTACTAAATTAGTGTGACATTACTCTTTATTAAAATTTATAACAGCTTATTCATTATATATAAAAACAAATCTCTTATAAGCGATCCACCAAACTTTAATCTTTATAAGCTCAACAATCATTTAATATTTTATAAAGATTTTATAAGGTCACCATTACCTGCTTCCTTTGCTAAATTCCCAGAAGCATCCACGTTAAGTTGAGCTGCAGCATCTGGCTGATTTTCTACAACATCTGGCCTTCTCTCTGCTGCACAATGTACTATGACATGGGGCTAGAAATTAAGCATCGATTTTTAACCCAAAAAGGAATGAAAGAGAGGAACTACAGCCTTCCAACAGTAAATTAATTCACAGAAAAATGTTAGGTCTGATGTAGTTTTGTCACGCTTCCCTTTTTCAAGGTTTGAACTTCCTTAAAAATATATATAGGCTCTGAAAAGGAAAGAGCAATTAAGCCCTAGGCAAGACCAGACAAACCTCTGTGTCAACAACTATAGTTCTAAATCAAAATAAGCTTTAGCCCCCAATATGGATGGAAGAAGAGCTATCATTAGTGTGATTAATATGACCTGAATATTAACAAATCTGTTAATGGGAAAGAAAGTTCAACTGCAAATCAAATTCATAAATTAAAATCTTAGGCCAATCAGTTAAGGAAAATCAACTATATATAAAAATTATATTCCCAGTTGAGCATTTCATATGCCACCTATATGCTAAGCACTGTGAGAGGAACAAGGATTTCATTATCTCGTAGAACAGACAGACACGTGAGGAGACTGTTTCAGTATACTGTGACAGACGTCGAGAGAGAAGAATGCACAGGGCCCTCAGGAGAGGAGCACCCACATCCCAGAGGAGCTGAGCCAGAGCTAAGGTTTGGGAAGACCACTGACAGGCAGGGCTAGTGTACCACATACTAAAAACTTTCTCCTTCTCAGCAACTACTGGAGGAAGTTGTTTTCAAACTTAGTGTCCACAAACTGGGGTGCTTCTTAAAATGTAGAGTGCTAGGTCCCACTACTGGCTTACTGAATTAAAATCCTGGGAGATAGGCCTAAGACCAAGTTTCTCAGAAGATTCTGATGCAAGTGTTAACTGAACCATATTTTTAGAAAGAACTTAAACTCTCAATCTGATTATGAGTGAAACAGAACCTAAATATTTCTGTAACTTTACTGTAACCATGGCCAAGTTATCTGACCTCTCTGAGCTTTTGTCATCTCTAGAGTGAAAGTGATAGTATCCATTCTTCGGTGTTGTAAAGTTTACAGGTACTATTAAAAAAACAGTTCCACAGAAAGTGGTACTTAAAAGAATGCTTTATAAATATAAGCTTTTCATAAAATGCTTCATGTCTCTGTCTTTTGTCAATGTGTTTCAACTGAGTCTTTTTAAGGATTCCACATCCTCTGCCACGCTAAAAAAGTGCACTAAATATTGCTGCTTAATAGGTTAAAGTACAGTAACTTCCTCAAGCAAAAACATTTTCTGTATCATCCAGGCAATTCTTAATATAGTTTACATATGTGTTAACATAATCATACCTGAAAATCATATATGACGTTATGAACTGCATCGGAATCCAACAGATTAACCTGTTCAAATTTTGGTCTTGCTCTTCTAAAACCACAGCCAAAGGCATGCCAATTATTCTGACGAAATTCTTTGTATACAGCTCTGCCAAGAAGCCCAGTGGCACCAGTAATCAGAACCCGCCTACTGGGGATGTTAACTTCCTCCTAAAAGGTGAAGGAGAGAGAAAAAAGATTGTTTACTCTGAAAATAGTTTCTCAACAAAGTTAGTCACCATCATCATTCACTTAATACTTCTAAGTAGCTTGCTTCACGTCCCATACCGGTAAGCAAATTCTTAAGTTAGAACAAAAATCAATCAAACTGCATTAACAACTACATCACTTAAGTTTTAATAATCTTTCCTAAGAAAAAAAACCTAAAATGATACTGCAATGAACTACCTAGTCAAAAAGATTTAGATACTCTATGTTAATAATAAAAACCTTAATTTTATGATCAATGATGTCCAAATGAGTAATAAACAACTTTAATTATGATCTTCAGTTTATAAAATGTACAATTAGTTTTATGCTTGTTCTACGGTTTAGGTATTTGGGCCATAGTCCCCCAATATGTTGACATTTTTGATCTTCAGTTTTTAATCCCGAGTTTTCTTTCAAATATCACTACTTTATTGCATTTTGAGTCAGAGTTTGAGAATTCACATTTCACAGAAATTTATATGAAGGAAAAATAAATTTGATCCTTATAGCACTAATATGCTTTCCAAGTTTAAATAAATTGATAAATATTCCCGAGTTAACTCTAAATTTACCTACATAGACCAATTAAAACTAATAAACATAGATATAGAGGAAAAGAAAAAAAAAAACTTCTAAAATATTTTAAACTATGTTGCTATTGTGAAAAAGAAAAAAATCCCTACGCACTGAAATTAAAAGGAACTACTATTTAAGAAACAATTTAAGTTCTGCTTCCAAAGCATATTTTCTAAAATTCCCTTCTTCCCAAGATGGGTAACACCAAATTTCCTCTCAGATTCTTGAATAATGTCAACATTTACTATTAAAAAATAGCAGTTTTATTGCATTTTATCATGTTAAAGACTTTTTATTTCAAGTGTTACGTAATTCTGAGCTGTCAAAAACTTTAAATAGTCATAACAATAACTGAAGGCCTTTCTCTTTTAGCCCTTATTTAGAAGAACAACCAACTTAGAAGACTACATATTTACAAAAAAGAAAAGGCCACCAAAAGGCCATCAGGTATTTTTATCATAGGAAAAATCTGAAATAAGACACAGTATAAAGGTAAATTCTTAAAGACATTTCCACCTCCTCAGGTCAACCAATTTCAAGACATTTTAAAAGTTGGAAAATTCATCTAGGTGCTTTGTAAAACTTGGCCCTAAACCAAGTGATCTATGAAAACAAGGATTTCAGCCAGCAAAATATTTTCTTTGAATTGTGGCAAGAAAACAGCTCCACAAAGACTTAATTGTAAAGAGGAAAAAACACACCAAGCCCAGGAGAGATACAATCAGAAAACAATTTACAAGGATAAATACTATAAAGATCTCTGAGAAAATTCTATAAGGAGCTATAACTTGGTCTCTTGCATTTCTCACTTTTTACTTTACTCTGAAGCAAAGGAAAGGACAGCAGTTCTTAGACTAGTGTTTCTCAGGCTTCAGAGTATGGATCAGAATCCTCTGGAAGGCTCTCAGATCTAGAATTGAGCTAAGACTTGATAATCCTCTGGAAGGCTCTCAGATCTAGAATTGAGCTAAGACTTGATAAGTGTAGCCTGGGGACTACACTTTGATGGTGATTTGGGAACTGCACGTATAGAACTCTAATCTTGAACTCCAGTAAAGTCCAAGGCTTTCCTGCAGATAAATTTCTCTAATTCAAACAAGCCTAAAAGTTGCCACCTACCTTTCTAAAAGTGACAGTATCTTTTCCGTTTTCCTCATTAAAAAGGAAAATTAGAAAAAGTCAAAGAACAAGCATTATGCAATCCACAAAGGTTACTAAACAGCAAATTAAGATTTCTGCACACTTCATTGATTCTGTGTAGCACACTTTTTCCTCATTTTAACATCTTTGTTAAATGAATAAAATAGAGATGCCATTTTATGAATGTGTCTGTCTGGCAGTGCTTTCTGCTTTTTAGTGCATCTTAAAAGAGCTCGGATGATCTTATAATCAAGAGTATCTTAAAGTTGGTGAAATTCAGTATTGTTATAAGCACCACAAGGCTCTTTAGGGAATATAGCTAACTTTAAAAAAAAGATAGGAGATACGTGGAGAAAATCTTAAATCCTTATACTCTGGGATAATATGGTTGGATGTCATGCTCAAGAATTATCTTTATTAAAAGAGCAGAAATCTGAAGGGTAAGCACTTTCTGAAATGGAAATAATTCTCCACATTCTTATATATGAAAACCATCAAGTGTTACATAAACTTACATCATGCCTTTTGATCAGAATCATACCTTTGATCATAAAAATAGCCTTGATAGGCACTGAAGATATATTTCCAAAGTGAGGAATCTGAAGTCTAGACATGTTAAAGGTTTTGCCCACAGTAAAAGGGAAGAGGTTGAGGCCAGAATTTGGGTTTTCTCGCTTCTATGGTCCAGCCAAATGCATACTGAATTTTGTCTCAGTCCTTTGAATTTATATTTGGCTTTATAATGACTAAATTTTCTCTGCTCTGCCACAAACTGAGGTATTGAGAAGTTACTTTATTGATCTAATTCCTCATTGGTAAAATAAGACATCTGGACAAGATGATTAAGACTCTTTCAGGTTTACAGTTCTATAATTCGAACATTTTCCATATTATCCTTACCATAAAGGGCCCTGAAGAAAGTAAATTTACTTAAAGTTAACTTTTTTTTCACATAGTCTCTTAGAGACTCAAGGAGCACCTTCTGTCACCAGTATATGGCTAGAATGAGACTTTTCCATTTGGATTACAAGTTTATTGGTGGTTGATAAATAAAATATGCATCGTTCTAAAATTAAAAGATGCCAAACAAAACTCTTCTATTTTTGAGTTCTTATATATAAACAGGACTCTACCTAAAGCTTTTTAAAATACACTATTTTGATTTTGTTCTTTGTTAAATAAATATTCCTCTGAAAATTACTTTGGACTGTTATTCTATAAATTTAGTCCTGCAAAACACAGTAATGTCCAAACACCCCAAAGAACTCAGAATGAAAGAATAAAAAGCTGTCTAGTTAATCCAAACCACAATAAAGAGCTGAAAATATTCTGCCTGCCTGAAAAGTCTTCTTTCTCTATCTGTATTACCTTACAGGTAAATTATATCAAACATCACTTTAAATTACTCTGAACATGTTTGCCTCTTATCATATAAACTGTCATATAGAATTCAGTAACTTCAGGTAACCAGATTTTAGACACCAAGAAAAATTCTTGAAAAATTAAACCCATATAAATAGGCATGGCACTACCACTCCTATTATGCTATCTAATCAAATACCAAATTGTATAGGTAATGAAAGACAAATGGCTCTTTCATAATGACCCCAAATGGTACTCTGGAAGAGTCATTTCTAATTTAGCACACTTACATTAAAAATGCCCTAGAAAAAGCAAGGTGAAACATCAAATATCTAAAGAGAGGTCTTCTTAAACTTTAGCAGTAAACTTAATAACACTTTGCTATTTTTGGAACGTCTCACTATTTAGCAAAATTTCATAATCCTTTCTTTGAGCCTCACAACATTCCGCTCAAGGCAGATCTTTGAGTAGACATTACTGGACTTTAAGAAACTTTTTAAGATCCCATGACTACTTAGGTGACATTCTTCTAACTCCCACTGTTACCCTGTTGTATGCCCCAGCCAGTTATTTTTAACAGAAACCACTAGTCTGTTTCTCTAATGTAAACTATAAGAAAGTCCTCATTCCCGCAAGTGAGTTTTAATTTTACAGGTTTTGAAAGCAGCAAATACATGCCAAGGTTTTGGTTGCACCATTTGCAATAAGAGAAAACTCATTTTCATCAGACTATTGAACTCCTACCTTGAAAACTGAGTTTTATACAGACACATATATATGGATATACATAAACATAAACTAACACCAGGTAACATGTATTCAGCACTGTTTGGGGTACACAGGAACAATATAGAGGCTTAAATAGCCCACCTAACTTTACCCTCAAAATCCAAAAGTAATTTGAAAACACTAAATTTGCTACATTCTGGAGGCATAAAAACTGCCATCTCCTATATCTTTTCTTATATTCATAAGACATATTGGTCTGGCAATTATCAGTCTCCTTATCCCCAGTGTTACCTATTGAAGGGAACCAAAATTTTGCTATCCTGAAGCTGCTTTTTGGGATATGAAGTCTTGTTTAATAAGAAACAAGACTCAGAAAGACCTTTGCTCTTCCCACCTTTCCTGCCCAAGAGATTCAGAAAGAAAAATGTGCTTTAGAAAGGGAGCCTTGGCTTAATCACCTTAAGAATTTTCATCCTAGCACTAGCGGGGGACACTCCAAGCCTGCTAGCTAGATACCTGTGTCCCAGTGTTTAAGCTGCCCAACAAGAATTTTCCTGCCATGTATATTCTGCTCTTCCTCAACTACTTGTAAATCACTCATTCTTCTGAAATCTAAAATCTTGTCCGCCCCCCGCCCTTTTTCTCCTTTTTCCAAAATGTTTTACATACTCAACGTTGCCTCAGTCTTTGGAAGATTCATGCTTATGTGAATTCTCCATACACGTTTTAAACTGACGGTCTCCAGTTAACCGTCTCTGTTAATTTGATTATTAGCCCAGCTAAAGGAATTTAGAAGGTGGGAGGAAAAGTATTATTTTTAGCCCCCACAATATATTCTGTTGATTGATGAATACTAGGAGGCCTGGAATAGAATTAAGGGGAGTGACGGAGGAGTTGGGGTGGGCGGGGCAAGGTAAGGGGCTGTCCCAAACACCGTAATAGCCTTCCTTTCTTTAGGCAACCTCCAAAGTGGTTCAAAGTCCCAGGCAAACAGAGCTGCGTTTGAATTCCGGCTCTAAAGGTACTGAATGAACTTGGGTCAAGGACTTACCCTCTGAGCCTCCATTTTCTCATCTTTAAAATAGAGCAAAAATAACCTCAAAAATTACAGTTAAATCATGTATGTACAATGCGTAAGACTCTTGTATATACTAAGAATTCAGTAAATCGTCACCTCTGATACTGTTATTTCTGAAAACGCACCTTTCCCTTCCTTCCTAAGAAATACAAACGGGTAAAATCGAGGATACGAACAAAGGATGAAAAAAATTAAGATAGAATCCAAACCAAAAGAGCTCTGAAAACCCCTCTTCATTCCTGGGAGGGGAGACAGGAGTCTCCAAAGTTGAAACCCGATCTACTCATTTCCTGCAGCAGAGGCTGGAAGAGAAAACACTAAACGGTGTGCATTGAGGTAAACAAACTCAATGGCGCCGCCCAGGGCTCCCAGAGGTGGAAAGGTTGCACCAATAAACTCTGAGCTGGGAGCTCCGACTCAGGCAGGAAATGCATGGAAAACAACTTGAGCCTCCGAGATCTGGGTCATCCCACTCTGCACCCCCAGTTCCCACGAGACCCCCGGGACGACTCCTTCACCTCAACCAGCCGGCAGTTCCCTGGAACAAAGTGGATGGAGAGCTCGTTCTCCCGCCCCACCATGCCCGCCGTCTTCACGCCGCCGCCGCCGCCGCCGCAGCAGCAGCAGCGACCGTCACCTTCACAGCCCAAGACCGCCGCGAGCCTCCGCTCCGTCGCCCTCAGCCCGCCTCCCCTCGGTCCAGACCAGCCCCCGCTCACCCCTTCCGGCTTCCGCCGCCAAGGCTGTGCCCGTTGATTGGTCACGCTCCGCCGACGCCCCAAAAAGGGGGCGGGTACGCTCTGGGCACTCTCAGCCCACGCGCCAATTCTTAAAGGGATACACAAAACAAAGGCCTTGGCCTTAAGCGGTAAATACGAGATTGGTTTTGAGGGGTTTATTTTTTGTGCTTTATTACATTCTTTTGTATTTTTTTTTTCTTCTTGACTAGGGAAGGATTGAATTGGATCACCTGGAGTTTCAAGTTTACAGAACTGCTCAGCGCATGAGAATCAACTGGGCATGTAATACATAAAGTGGGATAAAACACTTAAAGTCATGGAGTCCGGGGGCGGGGCGTGGGAGGCGAGAGGAAGAAAGCACAATAGGCATATATGTGTAGAGCATTCGAGGTGTTTTTTGAGAGATTTAGAAAGAGACAAAGAATAAAAATAAAAGTGTCGCCATGTGAGTCGTTAACATCTCAAGAACCTATTTGTCTTTCTGAGATGCTAAAATGTAGTACATGTGAAATTCCGAAAATGCCAAACTTTTTAACTAGTTGAAAATAGAGGGGTGGGGAGGGGCTAGCACAGGGGTAAAGGATGAATTATTGGATGATTCTTCAAACTTCGATTCTCGGATTTTGTCAACAATTACAGAATGAGAATCTGTGGTAGTAAAGCCCGGGACTCTACGGTGTAGTGGACTTAACAAGAGTCAGAATACACTTGGAGCAGCACCGCCTTAAGGGCTGCAGCGTTCGGCTACACCAACCTAGCCTTCCGCAACCACCAAAAACTGAAGAAGGAACCAAGGCGAGAGTTATGCTGGGCCACCTGTATCATGCCTTTTTTAAGAGACAAATCATTTCTATTCATCCCTAGGTGTTGAGACTAACCTAACATGCAACCGATTTCCCTTTCACTTCAAAACCGCAAAATCCCTCGCCAGCCGGGATGCCTATGAAACTTAGGGGAAAAAACAGCATAAAAAAAGAACATTTTAAGTGTTTTTGTCCAGACATGCAGAATATCAAGACCTAAAAGTAGCCCACAAACGTGACTGCTGCTTGGATCTGTCTAAAAAGACCTTACTTTCAAAATCCTTTTTGGTTTAATCTTACTGCTAAACCCTAAGCAGCCTTTTAAAAAAGTTTTTCCGCGTCTGAGCCCGTGACTTTCCTTGCTACCCAACCCCCAACAAGAACTCATTTCTTACGTGTATAAACATAGACTTTCTTTGGAACAGTAAAGGAAGAGAAACTGAGGCCACTCACTTTTTGGTTTTTGTTTTAATCCAGGCTGTTACAGTTATCAGTTTAGCATTATTTAGAGAGTCCTTGAGAGGACTGCCCCATCTTGAAACATGCCTGATCTGCAAACAAAGAAAAGGGGGATGGGAATGGGGGAAAAGATTCAAGATCCTCTTAATTCTATCTTTGAAAACAGGTATTTTTTTAAAAGTCTCCAGTTACAACGTGCGATGCAATTTAATCTTTATAAGAAAAAATTAAGTAGTCCATGTGAAGAAAATTTAAGGACATCAATTAGCATTTTGAGTCGCAGAGCAGCTTTGTGTATAGTAAGGAACAAAAAAGAGTTTACCTGCCTACACTTGAGAATCTTTGATACTTGCAGGTAAAACATGGTATAGTTCTAGGGGCAAACATACGGTTTTTAATTAGTCTCAGTAAATAAAAACACTATAGTTATACAGACAATATCCAAGTTTGTGTTGTGGCTAAGTCTATATATTAGAGAGCAACCTGGAGCTAAACGTTATGTTAGCAAACTGAATTTATTGCAAGACAAAGAAAGGCTGGAACACATACTATATATAAAATCCTTATATATACAGAACCATCACATACATCATTGCATTTCATCTGGTAAATGCTATTCTACATTTTATTTTTGTCAATGAGACTTAGTGAGTTCTCCATACAGGGTCAAAAATTAAAGTTGGTTTATTCTTTCATATACCAAAGTTACATGTTTTAAAGAAATGAATGACACTCACTTCTATTTTTTTACACACCCTTTTGGCTTTTAGCATACATTCACTTGGGTGCTTTTAAAGAAACTCTAACTCCAGAATGCTTAATTTCTTGAACCGCTATTCTTACCTGTTCCATGTCCTCCGGCATTTCAGGCATGGTTCCAAAATTATTTCAGGAAGACAGATTTGAGATGAGTTTCAGTCTCTGCCTTCTCTGGCTGGGTCTTTGTTCTTCCTGCAGAGAGCGCAGGCACGGAAAACATGAACTGCAGCTTCCCTTGACCTTTTAAATTAGCATTTTGATGTCAATCCCAGAATCTCGTGCAGTTTTCTACATTGCAGTAAACTGGCAGCTGATTCCCCGTGGCAGACTTGAAAATACCCAATGAGAAGTTTCATGTTTAATTGCCAGACTAGTAGGGTTCATTTGCAAAACCATTAGGAGAACCAACTTATTTTTAAAAGAAACAACAGCCAAAAAAAAAAAAAAAAAAAAAAAAAAAAAAAAAACAAACGAACGAACAAAAAAAACACCTTACTATGAAGACTTGTTGCAATTTTCTTTCGCAGAAGAAAAACAAGAGCCAGTGGCTGAAAAGCATGCCAGCCATGCAACTGATTCCTGTTCTGAAGTATTTTATTCAGTTTTGCCTTATTACAACAGAATCTATTCAGTAAAGTTGTCCAGTGCTTTTCCTCCACTGCTTTCTAATTAACTATTTCAAAGGACAGTAAAAGTGGTAACAGCATGCAGAAATTAAAAAGCAACAGATCATTTCTGTTAACATGTCCTGTCCTCTGTTCGAGAAAATGGTAGGAGGATAGCCTTAGGTTTAACCAAGCTTTAAGGACTTCTAGATCAGTGATTCCTAAACCTGCCTGCACCATAGAACCTATGAAACAAAATCATTCCGAGGGAGTGGAGGCCAGCAATTTTATTTTTAACAATTTCAAGGGTGATGATTATGCTCAATTAAATTTTGAACCACTGCTCTGGATTATGACTCTATAACAATTTAAGAACAGAAACAACAAAATTGCCATTCAGATAAAGCTAAAAAAAAAACTCTGTATACACTATCCACTTAGAGTACCTTGCACCTGGTAAATTCTACATGGCATGTGGAGAGTCTGAATAGGAAGAACTTATAATTTTTAGCACTTGACAAATTAAAATTCAACAAAGTTTCTGTTCATCAAAAGATATTAGAAAATGAATAAGAAAAACACAGGCTGTAAAAAATAATCTCGATACATATATATGCAAAGGATTTATATTTAAAGAACTATAAATTAATAGTTTAAAAAAACATTTTAAAAATGGACATATGTTCTAAACAGATACTTCACAAAATGAAGACAAAGAATGGCCAATAATCACATAAAAATGTTAGATAGGACAAGGGTCTCAAGGCCTTGGTGGTTCTTACTAAATGCTAGTCTTGCTAATCGTTAAAATGTAGCACAGTACCTTTTGGGACCTAGCTGTAACCCAGTGAACTTGACTGATGAACTTGACTGGGAACAGAACCAGATAGGTTTAGCCAATTGCAAAAAAAGAAATTGACATGTAATTAAGCAAACAGTATATATAAGCAATGGCTAAGCCTACCCTCTGGAAAAAAACAAAACAAAACAAAACTTTGGATATGAATCCCTTGTTTCCTTTACTTGCAAGCAGACAAAACTACCTAATAACCACCATATCTCCTTCTTACACCCCAAGTGGTGAACTCCTTGAGTTATGTAACAGGAAGATGCTCAACATCAGGAAAATGTACGTTACAGTCACGTTGAGATATCATTGCATATCTAACAGAATGGTTAAAATTAAAACGACTGATAACATCATCTACTAACAATCATTTTGAGCAACTAGAATACTCATTCATTGCTAGTGGAAGTATAACAATACAACCACTTTAGAAAAATGGTTTGGCAGTTTATTATAAGGTTAAATATACACCTACTCCATAACCCAATAACCCATTTCACCCAAGAGAAATGAAAGCACATATCCATAAAGACTTGCACAAGAATATTTATAGCAGCTTCTTAGCCATAAGATGAAAAACTGCCATTTGCAACAACATGGATGGACCTTGAAATAATCAGACTAAGCGAAATAAGCCAGACAGAAAAGTTGAAAATCACATGATACCACTTATATGTGGGATATAAACCTAAAAGCAACAAATGAACAGGACAAACAAACAGAGACTCATGGACATGGACAATGGACTAGTGGTTACCAGAAGGTAGAGGAGAGAGGGGAGGTGGATGGCGGGGGGAGGGGGGGAATTTAAATCATTTCTTCAATTAAAAAAAAAAAAAGAAATAAAAGTCTGTATAAAGTGTACAAACTCATAGGAAAAAAAGAACAAATAATTTTATGCTATTAAAGTTGATATAGTGTATAGAGAAAAATAGAGCTTCTAAATAAATTCTGCTCTGCTGGTAAAATATTCAAGCAGAAAGCAAAGTAAACAAAATAAAATATGTGTAAAAAACCAGTAAAAGTTAATATATGCAAATACACAAAATAAAAAATATTTTAAGCTAAAAAAAAGAATATTTATAGCAGCTTAATTCAAATAACCTAAAACTGGAGATAATCCAAACATCTATCAACAGATAAATGGATGAATTGTGGTATATCCATACTGTGGAACATTGCTCAGCTATACATAGAAATGAACTATATGAATGAATCATAAAATTGTTATGCTGAGTGAAAGAAGCTGGACACAAAAGAGTATGATTCCATTTATGTGAAATTCTAAAGTAGGTGAAACTAATCTATAGCGAAAGATATTACATTGTCTTGGGGGAAGGGTAGGGATTGACTGTGAAGGCCATAAATGAACTTTCTGAAGTAATGGATATGTTTCATATTTTGATTAAGGGGGTGCTGGTAACAGGGGTATACGTTTTTATCAAAACTCATCAAACTATAACAATTAAGATCTGTTCATTTCACT